ATAAACCAAAACTTGCGATTAAAATCTGAAGTAAAAAATGGCCTACAGTTTAATTTTGAATTTTGAAATTATGACATCCTTCAAGATTGGGTTTATTCAAGGGCTTGTTAAAAACCCAGGGCTTAGTATGTGTACCGATCAAAAATGAAAGTATATCTGATTGCATTCTGGGAGCCAATTCTCTTTGGTAGTAACAGGTACAATAAATCCAATAAAATTTGGCTATGTGGTCTTTGCAGTAAAATAAATGGTCAGTTATCGTCTTGAGATGCCACAGGCCTATATTTATTTAATGCAATAACACACCAAGGCAATGATGAAGTACTGGATGATAAGTTGCTCCCTTAATAAAGTTGCAATTATTACTTATCGAAGAACTAAGTGGGTTGAACAGTATTAACAAATTGCTTGCCATTGAAAGCCTTTACAGTATACAATTATCTATAACATGTCCGTAAGGTGCAATTTTCAAATTAAAAATGCAACTGGCAATGACATCGCGTTTTTCAACATCCGTTCCCATGGAAATATTCTGGTTTATTTTACCTAAAAGGATGTTTATGACATAATTTCAGACTTTGGTAGAACTGATGTCCGTGATGTGAAAAGAGTGATGGATGGAAGACGCTATAAAAGACTCAAACAATATGTCATGGTCAATCTTTAAGCCTGTTAAGGTAAATGAAGTACAATTTATAGATACACACAAATAAGGAATGTTGATTTAACATAGAATCAATATAAGGTATTTTGAATTTGTACTTTATATTCCAACGTAACTATTGACATGAAAATGTGAAAAATTTTATCAATTATAAAGTTATTAATTAAATCATGAAAATTACTGAAACAAGTCTTATCATGTGGAACTACCTTAATGAGACTAAGTTTAGTTTTTATACTAAATGTAACCTTATATGTTATAGGTATCATTTTATAATTCTGTAAAACATATGCGCTAAGCGCAAAGAATAATTAATTATAAAGCTCTGATTTTCTCTATATTTCCATAGTTACCACATAATCGTGATCTACTGATGTTGAATTTCAATCAACAATGTAGTGAATATAATGGATAGCATATATGCAAATAAGTTATTTGCAGCATACAGAATCCTATTAGGGTTTCTAGATATGCATTTTTTCTATTATTTATCCTTACTTGCCTCTATGATCTTATTATTTTATGTCTAAGATTCAAATTGAGCTTGAAGGCTCGTCTTACATCTTGATTGGTCGTTACTCATTTCTCTCTTATTCACGCTATAAATGACAGTTCAGTACCTAGAAAATTCTGCACATTTACATTTCAATCAAATGTTTCACTTTTCACACCCAAATCTGATCTTTTAGAAAGGTAATGGGTGATGTTAACTGTGATCTGAATACAGATACCTTATCAAAATCAACAAAGGATTTATTGTTTTTAAGTGAACTTCATAATCTAACACAAATTGTGTCTCACCCAACACGCATCACTCGCGACAGTATATCACTTATTGATTGGATATTGACTAATAACCCTGAGAAATACACTCCAGCAGTGGTCACTAGCTGTAATTTAAGCGATCACAATATAGTTTCCACAGTGCGACCAACCAGGAATGTAAAATATACACATAAAACACTAAAGTATAGGAGGTTCAAACATTTTAATCACAATGACTTTGAGCGTGACTTAAATAAAGTCTCATGGGGTGATATCAAATTATGTAATGATGTAAATAGTGCCTGGATGAGCTTTAAGTGCCTGTTTATGGAGGTAGTAGACAAACATGCACCAATTGTTGAAAAGCGCATGAAAGCAGGTTCAAAGCCATATATTAATGATGAAATTCTACAACTTATGAACAAGAGAGATTATTACAAGAAAGTTGCAGATGCAACGGGAAGTGAAGATGATAGGAGAAATTCAAATAGATTAAGGAACAGAGTAACATACCTAATCAGAGAAGCTAAAGCAAAATACTATAAAGACAAAATTAAAACGAACGAGCATAAACCCTCTAACATGTGGAAGTGCTTAAAAACTCTACTGCCACAGAAAATGAAAGAAACTCAAAAATCGTTAATTGTTGAAGGAAATGAAATATCCTCCCCATATGAAGTGGCCAATGCCTTCAATAACTTTTTCAGCAATATAGGACCAACAATATCTAAAAAGATTCAACAGACTGGAAAAAACCCACTTGATTATATCAATCAACATAATACCTCATTTGAGCTCCAAGAAGTTACTTGTGAGTTTGTAATCAAAACAATTAAGGACATGACCTTATCCAAAGCCACTGGACTTGATGGTATCAGCTGTAAATTATTGAAGCTAGCCAGTAATATAATAGCACCATATGTGACCTTTATCATTAACATGTCATTAAACACCAGTGAAATCCCTAATGAATGGAAACATGCCAAAGTAGTGCCTGTTTACAAACAAGGCAACAAATATGAAACTAATAATTATAGGCCTATTTCAATACTTCCTATTATATCAAAAATACTAGAGAGGGCTGTTCATAATCAATTATATATGTATTTTAAAGCCAACAACCTATTTTCAATATGGCAATCAGGTTTTAGAGATCACCATTCTACAGAGACAGCACTTCTTTCTTTATGTGATGAATGGCTAAAAAATGTTAACGAAGGTAAAATAACGGGAACTATATTTTTAGACCTGAGTAAGGCGTTTGATCTTGTTGATCATTCGATCTTACTAGAAAAGTTAAAATTGTATGGTGTAGGCAGTAAAAGTTTACTTTGGTTTCAACACTACTTAAAAAATAGGAAACAAACTGTTATTTTAGATGATACACCTTCGCAAGAAGCATCTGTCTCTTTGGGAATTCCACAAGGATCGATAATTGGACCTTTGCTCTTCATAATCTTTATTAATGACTTAGCCAAGGTAGGCAGTCAAGATGGTTGCATCAGACTGTTTGCAGATGATACTACTTTAACTAGGTCAACTTGTGATGTACCATCTCTTCATACACTACTTCAAAACGATATTAACTGTATTGATGAATGGATGAAATGTAATAAGATGAATTTAAACTATAGTAAAACAAAATTAATGAAAATAGGAAATACCTCAAAGTATGGAAATGATGAAGATACCATAACAATATCAAATAATGTGATTGAAAATGTTGAAACTTATAAATATTTAGGTGTTATTGTGGACGACAAATTAGCATTCAAAGTACATATTGAAAAGCTTTGTTCAAAGATTTCTTGTAAGATAGGTATTTTAAGAAGGCTTAAACCATTTGTTTCAAAGGAAGCACTCATCACAATTTATAATACAATCATATTACCAGAATTTAATTACTGCTCAATTGTCTGGGGAGAATGTTCTAATAAAATCTATCTGACTAGACTAGAGAAACTTCAAAAGATGGCAGCACGAATTATACTGAGAGCTAATTTTGATATTTCAAGTGTCACTTTATTTCAGTCCCTAAATTGGACTCCAATTCAGGAAATGATTAGATATAGGAAATCAATTTTAATGTACCAGGCTATTTCATGCATCTCTCCCCCATATATTCAAAACTGTTTCAAAGAGACAAAGTCTGTCCATAATTATGCCACTAGAGCAGTTGTGGAAAATTCACTTTATGTACCAAAACCAAAACTTGAAATATTTAAGAAAAGCATATCATACAGTGGTTCACATCTTTGGAACAAGCTTGATAAGACTGTCAAAGAGTCTGATTCTGTAAACTCTTTTAAGAAAGCATATAAACAAGTGTATCAGATCAGAAAATGAAAATCATGTAAATGCATTATTTAAAGACATTGTTCCTTATATTCATGTAATTCTCTTATAAGTTGTTCTCTATGTTTCATGTAAATGCATACTTTGAAGATGCATATATATCAAATTGTTCTATATGTCCTATATATCTATTTGTATGTTTCTATATTTATTGTACACATTGTAAATAATTGTAAATTATTACTGGGCCTCTAGGAAGACCAGTTTTTGTACTGATAGAGCTACCCAGAATAAATATAGTTTTCAAATCAAATCAAATCAAGTAAAAAAGGCTCATGTTAGGCTGAATTATGATATCGTACAGAGAGGCCTTTGTTAACTCACACAGTCATAATATCTTCTCAGCTCCGCCGGCAGACCAGGTGTTTGTAATGGATTCCTTATTAGTTGTGCAATATCTTATGTGCAATATCTGTGCTTGATAATTATGAGATTACACAGGATTTGTTTATTACCTGGCTTTATTACAACTGCCTTCTAAGATGTAACTAGCTCAATATGTTTACTATATCAGTAGTATACTGAATCAGAGTTATTGAATGCCAAGTTGCCAACCTACCTATGGCACTGAGACTCTTTGTTACTTATTAGGGAGTCAGCGGTTATTGTTTGCCACTGTAGGCTCAACAAAGTGAAATATGAGCCTGGCCATGGGAAAACCGGTTTTATCACAAAAATTTAAATTGTGCTACAGAGCCAAAAATGTGCCCAAGATTAAGAGGGAAATATGCTAAATTCAAATCATACTTTTTGGTCTATATATGCATGGAAAAATTGCTAAGACATAAGCCATGGCTCATTTGAAAGGTCTCTTTGTGCTTTTTAAGAATATTGAAAAAATCTCTGATAAGACCCTTTTCCTAAGCCTGGCTCATAAAGTATGATGTACATGTTACACAGCAGAGTTAAATTGCTTTGTTTACGAAGCATTCTGACAAAAAGCTTGTGTTTAAAGATATTTGTGTCGGTGAAACATCTCGACATGTAACAGGTACCATAGAAAATTTGTTGTGATGGTCATGGTATGTTCTAGTGTGTTCTCAAATATGCTTGAAATGCTGGTAGAGGATTCTGGATTTAGTAGATGTTCCATAACATGGAATATGTTAAACATTGTTATGACCACATTGCAATTAGTTAACAATTTGGATGATTTCTGTTTTCAGATGGATCTTCAACCGAACTGTCCAGACATTACAGAACAAAAAATGAAAATGAACTATTGAATAATAGTACTTCAGCATAACAGTACATTTGGGTAACAGAACCAATGGATTGCAACCTAACTGAAAGAGATATTAAAATTAAAGACCTCAAACATAGATGTGATAATTATCAATTTCCTAATATATACAATGTAATTCCACTTGGAGTCTGTGCATCACTCTAGACTAATTAAGAGCTCAATTAACATTGAGAAGTGATGATTTCTAATTATCACTATCGGAATATATATTATCCCACTTGGAACGGTGTGTCATTCCAGAATAAGCCTGTTGTACTGAACAATTACCAGTGAGCTGACAGAACAAAAGCTACATGTGACATATTGTTTGATTTGATATGGCAGTAAACCATGAAACAAATGGATGAAAATGAGGAGGCGTATATGCCATAATACTAATATAACAGTAGCATCCATACTAAAAGGATTTTAATCAGGTGGCTGTTATATTCCTGTAGGGATCTTAGCATGGTGATGTTGAATGGGATTTGCACGAGTGCTGAAGCCAATACATCCACGGAGATTAACTGGTTTCTTTACCAGCGTGAAAATGACACAACAAAACACTATGCCTTGAGACAATCAGATGTTTGTCAAGCAGTGAATGAAACTAACTGGAAAAATTGTAGCGGGGAAAGTCCAAATTATACACCATGGGAAAATTTATATACAAAAATTTTAGAATGCAATGGAGGGTTTAATGAATCTCGACTTCTCAGGAATTGTGGAGGTTTTCCAAATGTAACGTTCGAGTTGGAGTGTTTATATCCGCATAATTACTCCAATGAATATCATTCCCATCTACAATTATGTAATCTGAGTTCAAACATTGAGGAAACAAATAGAACGTTTTCCTTGGAATCTCTTTGTAATGACGTAGCGCCACTAATAGATGGAGCTGAAGCTGAATATTATTTACCAATAGGACTCAAAGTCCCACTGGGGATTTTAATGGTGCTTATGATATTTGTTAATATTTTTGGAAATAGCGTAGTCTGCCTTATTGTGTATCAGAAACAGGCGATGCGTTCTGCTATCAATCTACTCCTAGCTAATATGGCTTTTAGTAACATTCTTCTCGCTGCTTTGTGCATGACGTTGAGTTTTCTGACGCTAATCACGGATAAATGGTTGCTGACGGAACCTGTATGTAAAGCTGCCGCATTCTTCCATTCGTTATTGGTCTGGGAGGCAATTGCAGTCTTGTGCACTATAAGCCTAGATCGTTATCTCATCATTGTGCGGCGGAAAGACAAACTTAATCCGTCTCGGGCAAAAATATTTATCTCAACTACATGGTGCTTTGGGGTGCTGTTAAGCCTACCCCCTACACTGGGGTGGGGTATGTATTACTTTTATCCAGGACATGTACAGTGTGTCCTGCATGAATATCGCAATATTCCTGATCTGATGTATCTTCTTATATGGACAAGTGTTACATTTTTCATCCCAATGCTTACAATGACTTATGCTTATTTTTACATCTTGAACACAGTGCGGAAAAATGCTTTACGTATTCATAATCATCCTGAAAGCCTCACTGCCAGTCAAGCTAGCAGACTGGGCTTATCAGGGTTAAAAAGACCTCCGAGGGTTAATGTTGACATGAGTTTCAAAACCCGAGCATTTAAGACGATTCTTATATTATTTATTGTGTATATCATATGCTGGGCACCATATGCTATATCAATGGTAGTTTCTAATGTGACACATTCTATGAAGACTAACTATATCTCAAACACGATTATCCTGTGGATAAGCTACATGAATAGTTCGCTGAATCCTGTCATTTACTGCTGGCGGATTAAGAAATTCCGGGAGGCATGCAGGGAACTTATTCCAAAGTCTGTTCGTCTACTACCCAAATTACCACAGTCAACAAAACGACGCATCAATCCAAGTGCCGTGTATAAGTATAATTCGGAACAACCAATGGCTGACTTGCCCTCTCATTCTCACCAGTCAACTGTATGATCGAATTTTTTTCTGCTTTGCCATATTTTGTAAGGTTAATACTATAATTCTAGTACCAGTATTTATACAATTTATATACAGTATTGAAAAAAGTCTTTTGGGCTTAAATGGGTTCCATTCCATTTTGTTTTATTTTTGAAATACATTTTAGAATATTTCTTTCTTTTGCCAAATTAATAGCTTTATCAAAGTATTATTCTATGGACAAAAACAATTTGAACTCGCATATACATGTAACTAGGTATGATATATGAATACTAGTATCACATTTCTGACAACCAGTAATAATATAACATTGTTGATTTTTATTTCTAAGTAAAATGTCATTCTCTGTTTCCTTCCCAAAAATTTGAAGTTCCCACCCTGTGAGACTAGTCCGTTAAAATTTGATTTTATTAGATTTTATAGGGAAGATCAAAAGAGGGTTCATTAGGACATCTATATAACTGTGGACCCACCTGTATAGTGTTTGGCATTCAACCTAATTCCAATTCACACGATAAATTATTTGTAGTCTTCTAATTGTACATATTTTCAACCCATTTAGCCTTACTCACGTACAATATAGAAAAATAACAATTTGTCTGTTTGTACATTGAACTCCGAGCACCAAAACAAGTAAACAATATATTTACGAAAGGCACCCAAGAATTTTATTATTAGAAGCTGTTAATTTGTTTTAGATTATTATTACCACCTTGCAGGGCCTGTTCTAGGGGTTTTAGTACTAGTTGAGAAGGCATTTAAATTGCTATATTGACGTGAGCAATATTGTGTCGGGCGTTAATGACTTTAGTCAGGCAATAATGACATTATCCGCCCGGCTATGTTTCCCGTGAAAAGTGATATCGTTCAGTGCGTAAGATTTTCAAATTTGCTATTTTAGCCCTGGTCATTAACGGTGGTAATAATAGTAATAATGTCATTTCTGCGGGCAAAATAGTGAAATATTGGACCTTGGGCCTGCGGCCCTTGGTCCAATATTTCACTATATTGCCCTTTGAAATGACGTTATTGTACTATTGACTAGGTTATTATAGGGCACAGTACCTCATACTAAGAATATCCTCATTTGGGAAGAAGTTCAGTATTATTTACCTTAAATTTTTTTTTAATTTTGCCTGTTATATTTATCAGTACTGTTTTTATGAAAATATGTAGATTGCCTAGTGGTCTAGGATCTGGGAATGTTCTCTAACATTTGGATTTTATCGATATATCTGTCCAATGTAATTCTTAGCTTTATTGTAAAAAACAATGGCAAATGTATTGTCCCAAGATGGCCTCTGTTAAATCTATTGAACGATTTATTTATGTTTATGTAGAACTTACATTTAATGTCGTATCCATCAACAACCATGCAGAATTATCTGCTGGAATACAGAAAATAAAGTTCAAACAAATGAATTAATTCAATGGATTAACAAGGATTAACAGAAAAAGGGAAATAGAATACAACATTGAGAATTGATAACAGATATACGAGTAAAAGCTTTACTAGGGTGAAATAGGATGAACTATTTTAACTAGGTAATCAATATGTTTTTCGTATCAATATGTCAGCTTGTCATCGCAGAATTGTAACTTTATTAACATGTCATTGTAATTTCCCGAGGTTGCACATAATAATTGTTTATAGGTAGGAATATCATGTTGTATGAATGTATGAATACTGTAAATCCAGGACTTTTTGCATGATTCACTAAAACTTCACTTAGATGATATGGGATCACTTGCTTCAGTAGATTATTGTAAAATAATGTCAACTCCAAATTTTGGGCTTTTGTGTTTTATATGATTTGGTGATCTCTGGTTGAAATTGTTATCGTCTGAGCAAAGAAATGCAGACATCATCTTCTTCTCCCCTGCGATCAGCGGATTCAGATACGCCTGAAATCAATGGTCAAGTGACAAAAGTAATGGTTTTTTATTCATGAAGGAGGAAGGAACATGGTAGACAATGCCTTGACGCCTGTGATCAGAGTCTAGAATTATATTGCATGGATATCATCTAAGTTTACAGTAACAATTAATAATTCAAGACGATCATTATTTTTATTATTATCTATTCACACATTAACAGAACATCTTTTGTTATTAGAGGCTTCAATGAGATATAATAGAATAATGATCATGCATGGAGGTATTATTCCCTTGCAGTCATATCTTCTGGGGTATTAGGTACTATGTCTAAGAATAGAATAATGTGAATGTGAAAGATTAATGAAGTTATTGTCACTTCGATGAAAAGTAGAATAGAAGGGATAAAATAAGTTAAGACTAAGTTTTGAAGAATGCTTCCCTAGGTGTAGTACCAGGGGTTTCATTAGCAGCAGGGAGGAGGTGATTTTCACCAGTTGTTTTCACAAAAGAGCCTGTTGTTTTTAGGAACTTTTAAAATTTTCCATGTTAAATTTATGATTTCCATTAATTTTGCCTGTTGTTTTCATTTATTTAGCCTGTTGTGAGAAATTCTAGTGAAACCCCTGTAGATTGTTTTGGATGTGCACTTTGATTTGACAATGAACCCATTTTTTATACAAGATTGCCAATTTAAATTTTTGTCAATAAAGGAAAAATAGTTTACATTCTTTAAAATTTTAATGATTTTAAAAATTGAGAGTAGGTCCAGGCAAACTCAATCTACAGCGCATCTGTGTGTTGGTTTCTTGTCCACTCATTTTAATAAGTATATGCTATCAAGTGTGAAAATACATACAATAAACCCATTTATATTTCATAATGATTCTTTTTATTGTTTGACTGTTTTTACAACAGTGGTCATTAATCATTACGTACTATCAAGCCTATTTTTAGTGAAAGATATAAATATTTTGAAATTATAAGACTTTCCAATTGTTAGATCATCTGAATTTTTATTGAGGTGCCTTCAGTCTAACATCAGGAGCCATCAGGGCTTGAGCTAAGGGCTGGTCCACTCACTGGTCATTTGGCAGACCACTTTTGATACGGACTAGCTGATTTTTTCAGTAGGTATAGGAAAATTACATGGCAACTGGTCCGTAATGTCATTTTGACCAGCTGCTCTTAGAACCTTAGCTCAACCACTGCCTAACAACAATAATATTTTAAAAAGTACACAAATGTGTTATCCAATTGATAGAAATCTATTTATTAGTTTTTATTAGTTGGAATTGACTATAAATAACCTTTTATCGTGTTTATTGAAATGAGTATGCTCTCATCTATCAATTTATTTACTTTTAATCTTCAGTAAAAAAATGCAATTTCATAATGATTGAACTGATCTGGTTTGATGTTGCAATAGACTCTTGACACAAAAGCTCTTTTGTTAGTGCTTCAAAAGATGGGAAATATATTTATTTAAAGTATTATGGATTTATAATATTACATGCATAATTATATGACGACCAATGTGAAAAGATGAATATATATTTTTTGAAGAGAAATTATACTTATCAAGTGTATTTTACTATGTGCATCCGCTTATCCTTTTTAGCAGTTGTAATTTCTCTTCTAAAGTATTGTTTCTTATTGGAGTAATATTATTGCCTTAAAAATGCCATATCTGTGATGTAATACTATTGCTTATATGATATATAATTATATATATATTAATGTTCTCTGTACTATAAGGAACATTTTGTAAAATATATTTAATATTTGTATAGAATAATGTGCAATTACTACAATGTGTCATAATGTGTTGAGATTATGTATTTATTTTGTAAATATAAATATTTGTAATCTAAACTGATTTCTGTTTTATGTTAAATCTTTGGCCAAGTAATGCATTCTGATGTATATTCCCATAATCATTCATATACAAGTGTTTTGTTCTCTATCTGTGATACCATGGTTTCCATGGTTACTACAATCGCCTATGGATTTTCAGTTTAATATCCAGAATCCAGATGTATATCACAATTTGTAATACTGAAACATGGATAGCAGTTTTTCCTCTTTTCACCTATTTTCTGTTTCTCTGTTCAGTTTGTATTAGTGTGGGCTTGATGCAAGACTAAATTAATCTATGAGAAAAAGTTATGTCAGTACAATATTCTTGTTGAGGGGATAAAGATTTTATTCCTATTATGAAGAACATTGACCCAAAGATTAAGAACTGTTTTCATTGATCACACTAGGCATTGTTAATGTCGCAGGTGTCAGATCACTGTGGAAGATTGCATAGTTATCCATTTGTTTTAAAGATGGTGCAATGATCCCATGGTAAATGTTTTGCACCATTTTCAGTGGTCTTAATACATCATGTATCATAGAACCTATACATTAGCCTAATGAATTCAATATTACTTCCCCAGTCCTTCAGTCTGATCCAGGTAAAGTTTGTGAAATGCTGTCTGATTGTGGCAATTAAGTGCTTTTCTTTCCAGTCTTAAATCAAGTCTCTGGATTGAAACCCCCTCCACCCTCTACACAGAAGTGATCAGTAGAGGAGGATTGATTAAAGATGTAAACATCTCATTTTTGATTTTATTGTGAGATAACTTGATCTGTTGAATGTGACAAATATTCCTTGATTGTGATGTTTTAATGGCCAGTGGCATAAGTGTAGAATGGTGGAAGATGGCATATTGATTATTTGTGACAAAATATGGTTGATTGAATGCATACAGAAACTGACTGATGACACAGATAAACAAAATATACAATGGATACAAACAAATTGAATGTTTGTTATGTTGATTGTGACATGATATGATTGATTGTCTTGATTATGATCGAATACAAACAAATTCTGACAGATGACTGACTGACAAACAAAAATATAATCCCATGGTTGCAAGGATATAGATTGAATATCACATGAAGATATATTTGATATGTGGATCAAGATATCATATTTTAGCAAAATAATGCTCAAACCATCGCATCGAATATCATTTTTAAACTATCGAATATCACTTCTTAAAAAGTGATATTCGGTGGACAATCGCTGCGCTCACTCACGAAGGTCACAGCACTTCTTGTGATTTTTCTTTGACCTATGACTGCTGACCTATACCGGCAATTACTAGAGTGCCGCTAACTTGATAAAAGGCTGGCGTTGGCTAGAATTGTCTATGGTTCTAGCCAGGATAAAGATACCAGTTCTTCAACTCAACAATGGGAAGAACTGGTCTACCTTAGTGACTAATATGTCATGATATGACATCTAAAGAGTCAATAAAAGATATATATATTTATCCCATGGTTACAAGGATATAGATCGATAATAATATCATATCGATAATAATATCAATTATATCCACTCATGGATATCAATCTTCACTCATTCGCTGCGCTCACTCGTAAAGATATCTATATCCACTCATGGATATAAATGATATTTTTTCAAAACCATAGGATATTCCTATAATATAAGATATCGATATCCACTCATGGATATAAATGTTATTTTTTCAAAACCATAGGATATTCCTATAATATTAGTGAATGAGAACTTGGAAATCAGTTTGAATGCACTGGAGTAAATACAGCACCAATCAGTCACAGCCAATAGACACAAACATGGGCTATTAATGTCAATAAAACCAGGAATAAAACTTTGTTTGATTGGTAACAGTGGTTGTGACAGTTGTTCAGAAGTGAATAAATAGTGACTGGTTTTGAGGGTCTTATAAGAGCGTTTGCTTTTTGCATTGATTAGCTTTTTGACTATTACCACTGGTTTTCACCCACCCCGGTAATGATTGTATACAGCATTTTCGTGCGGTACATAAAGCAGGTGCGTGAAAAAGAAATACGTTCCACTCCCAAACAACAACCTTGAACTATGACCTCATATTTCTCGCATTTGATTGGTTCGTGTTTCCAATGTAAATGGACATGGCGACCATGGAGCGGGAACGTTAATCAGCTTAGATTGAAGTGTTGATTTTGTTTATCATAAACTGATATCAAAAACAATATACACTTGAGATTATCGTCTACAAGTCCGAGGATCTATTGTGCCAAATACAGCTAATTTCTACCACGAATTTAGGGAACAGAAGCATTCAAAATAATAGGTAATTTTTTTTGTTTTCATTTTTTTAAGTTTTTTACACCTGTGCACACCTGCAGTAGATCTATGCATTGACTTCTAATTTATGACGAATATCACACGTTAAAATGTATTTAAATTGTTTGACCTTAGATGTCAGTTATATTTACATAGGGTATAGATCTGATGTCCTGAAGATGTATTTCAATGTTTCAGTTTCTCTTACCTGGACAATTAATATGTCACAGTCACACATTTTGAATGTATATAAATTTGTAGTGTGGGCTCATCAAGTCACATGCTTTTGAAACTCTATAGTTAGAGAAGTCTAGTAGTGTACATTACAATCATGATAGAATATAGAGCTTTTTTGAATGATGACTTCAGGATTTGAAACTGACGAACATCCTCCCATTTCATGGAGTATAGGAATAGCTGAAGAGATGAATAATTTTGATTATCGATCCTTAAAAGAACATCCAAAATTTATTCTCAAAAAATAACAGCATATGCTTCATCCATGTATAGTTGTTAGTTCTATAATTGATTGATATTTCTGAAAAAGTCTTAGCTATAGAAAAGAAGTACTACAGGAGTGTATAGTACATCATATTCTTTTAGTCATACAGTGTACATCAAACTTAAGAACTACTGTATGAACACCTGGGATTACCATGCTAAATACATTCATCTCAGGCCAACATCAATATCTAATTCCATTGAAGTTTGTTTAAATCTTGTTTTGACATCAATTCATTTCACAAAGTGAGACCCTCTGGCTTTTAAATTGCAAAATTCACGCCCAATAACACAGTCAAGTGTACTAGCTTTGGGAATTCGGTAGCCAATAACATGTCTATGTACAACAATTTAGATTTAATGTAAATGTGCTGGATGGGGGAATCACCCTCAAATTTACATGTGATGGTAGACTTTCAAAAAATAGCAATAAAAGTTGTTAATCCTTTGATCTTATAGCAAACATCAGTTCAATGTTATATCATATTTAGAGCCTTATACCTTAAATAAATATTTTTCATTGTTCTTATTTGTCTGAAAGTAATACTTCATTTTTTAGTTTTAGTAAACTACACACTTGATTGGCCAAAAACGTAATCACTTGCATAATTGAGGAATCTTGGGTAAATGCATCTTGTGCTAAAGGAGGTATCACATGTCATAATGTAAAATTACTTATATGTCAATCCTGTTTGCTTGAGGGCTAATACCTTGGATAAATTATTACAAAGGACTTTCATAATCCATTTTATAGAACCTAATCATCTTGGATCAGTTTCATGGACCCAATTTATGAATGCTACTAAAACTAAGTTATTAAGTACATAAACATGATATTACTTGGTGTGGTCAAGTAAAATAGTAAATATGTGTATGAGAATTTTAGCTTTCTAGCTAGCTACTAGGACCTTGGTGCGGAATGTCACTTTTCCTAGTTAATTATTTCAAGTCCCTATGTTAAATGACTACTGTATTAGGGTTAGGACATATTAGAAAACCACATTTTATTTCCCAAAAATTGCTGTGGCTGATCTTCAAAGTTCCACTTTTCAGAGAAATGACAGACAAATCTGCGGATGTCAGATTTTTCTGGCATCGCACGGTAGCAACCAGAGTGGGAGCTGTGACACTGGATGCAACATTTCAAACAGTAAGTAGGCTTTAAAATCACTAATCATGTCATCATAGTAATTGTGTTGTTTGTGAAGCAAATACTTTGCATTTTGTCTTTTTTTCTAACTTATCTCATCTAATTGATGTTTATAGATCTTATTCGATCAGTGTCATATTTCTTTTTTGTATAAATCAATATAAAATTTATTGTTCAGCATAATCCTATATGTTACAGGGCAAGAGTGTGACCCTGTCATACAACAAAGACAAAAATGTATATGAGTCTGAGGAAATGGCAGTAGCATGTGGGACATACAAAGGACACATTACCATAGAAAACAGAAAGTACCAATTAGAACCTATAGACATCAAATCATACACATTTGAAGTTGACTTGGAAATCATCGAAGGTATGTATCATTGTCTTTCACCTAGATATGCATTATACTTTACTTTATAAATGCATTTCTCCCTCCAGTTCTCAATGATGAAGCCTGTATATAAATCAAGGAAAAAGCAAATCATTTGATGTATTAAATTCATTACACTCATTGTATTTTGCATCACCATGAACATTCTGCAGTACATTTTGGATTTGAAAGACGTTGAGTACGAAATTGGCAATATCCTTCAGTGCTGTCATGGTTTTATTTGTATTAAACACCTCACACTTATAGTGCTTGTTCCTTGAACAAACACTGACCATTTTTTCACTCATACACCAAACATTTTAAACACACAAAAAGGTAGCCTAAAAATGACAGTGTCAAAAATGTATGCTACTTCAATATACAATGTACATATATGTGTGTAAGACAAACATAAAATTGTTGATACTGTTAGTATAGAAATATGTTTTTGAGAGTCTGACTCAAATGATGTTTGTCCAGGCTTTCACTAATGTATAGATGTCAAAAATCACTAAATTTGCAAAACTAAGTTTACAAAAGAAATAGTTGCTACTGTAGTTCTTTCTATATTTAGAACCTCTTAATAGTAAACATAATATTCAGTCACTACTAAGATTTTTGGACAACCATGAATTAAAATTATTACTCTTAGAAAGTACATGTTCTGATTATTATGACTTGTTAAAGGAAATTGTTGGGAAACCCTAGAATTATTTCCAAGGGCCCATTATATTTGTATATCCTTAGCATTGTCTGATAGTAGAGATATGGTCAACTAAATTGATCATTTGTTGATCTAATTGAAATAGAAAGATAACTAATCAATAATATCCTATAGTCAGTTAGTCTCACATAGGATCAGGATCTACCTTGACTGCAGAATATAGTTACAAACTAACAAAGCCCTCTTTTAAGTTAAGAAGTGAAGGAAGTAGGTACACTAGGTGGTCCATTATTTAAAAGATCAAGTTGAAAAGAAAATATATCCTAACACTGTTGATTTTCTAAATCAACCCAATCTAAAATGTAACAAGTTGCCAAAAGCATCAATTAAGTCAGGGAATTACCTCACACAAAATAAGTAAATGGACACACAAAGTAAGTTTGAAAGTTCTGTTGATTCAAGAACTGTCCATGAAGTGAGAAAGCATGTGATGTAATGAATAGTTGAGTCACATTTCCTTCCAAAATAATTAATTTGAAATTTTCTTCCAAATAGTGGGTTAAACTCAGTACTAGCTGGCACATTTGGAATGTTTTCCTTTGATTTTCATGAACTGGAAAAAACTGAATACAATAATGTTTGCTCGATAAATTTCATTATAATATTTATTTAATTTAAAAATTAATATTTGAAAGGGTTGTACCGAATGCTGGCACTGTATACAATTAGACCGTCTTTGTCAAGAACCAATAAGTTTTCCGACAATTATGATTGTAGCAAGCCGCTTATATTCTGGCTTATACCAATAAAGGTTTAATGTTCTATAAGTACTAGAATAACGAACAATTTTAAGAGATTTAAACCTAAATCACTCTATAATCCAATAACTGAAACTGAAAACTTCTATGTGGTAGAAAACCAGTCTGGATTTGAATTTTGTTTTTGGAAAATTGACTGGTGACCTTGCTTGTTTTGAGGTAAGATTTTAAATCAAACTAGCTTATATATTATTCTCTGTTTTTTTTCAAATGAAATCAATCAATTATCATTGGATTGTTTGTCAAATTGATTTGTTTATAACACCTTTTCAGGCATTTCCTGAATATATCACATGTTATATAGCTCAGCCATGGCTTGCCACTTCTAAATGCCATGTGTTTTGGATGAGTATGCATGCTCAGTAGCAAAGTATTCAACAAAGAGAATTTTGAAGAAATGATATCTTGCGTTTCAGCAGGGTCTGTGATGTTCTAAAGTGTTCTTTGTAACAAATGATAGACATAAAGGATAAGAGCCCTGATTGAAAAAAATTAAATTGTCATCATCTTCACATTGTAAGCTCTACAGTTTCAATTATCTTATTAACAGAACCAAACTGATAGTGATATTTATGAGGGTAATTCCAGGGTCTTTTAATGCTTTTGTTGCACATGTTGGAAATTGTCTCTAGAATAAAACTTGAAAATTTCAATAAGAATGGTTGTTCCATTGCAAATATAGAGTAAAAACAAGACTGCATCATTCAACCTGTCCGGGGTACTATAGTTTTCGATTTACAATTTTCAAATGTCGGTGACAACTCCAACTCTAACTTCTAGTTCTTCTGAACATCTTGCCTCATCTCAGAATTTGTCATAAACCAAAAAGTGAACTTAGGTTAAATAATAAGGGGTGCATAAAGTTCCTGGGGAAATATATAAACGTGTAGGTAAGGTAATGTGGACAGCTGAGGCCCCATAGCATATCATTCCTTCTCAAGTCAGGAGTTGGATAGTGGATACACCCAGTGCATGCATTGCTAGATCAAAAGTTAGCATGAGAGCAGAATGGTCGTCCTTCTTCAAAGGATTTCATTGATGCTTAAATTGAAAGAAATGAAATGCCCTTGTACCAAGGATGCAGAATGGTCTATCTTGAATAGTGTAGAAAAGTTTTTTTGCAGTTTGACTGAATGGGTTATTCAATCCACATGTTACAGGGGCTTTATGCTTTTGAGATCATTTAAGAGAGTTGCAGCTTCAAACCTCTGTGAAGTGAGATTAACACAAATCAGTCATTGCCATAAGCATTGCCATTTAATTTATTCAATCGTACATGTAACTATTCCGAGTGTATCCATCTTTATCTAACGTTTGTGAGAGAGGCAGTAGAGGTAGGGGAACACAAAATGATTCAAATGAGGAATCTATAGTGGCTTCCATACCATTTTCCATAGTTTGATATTTTGCTTCCTAAATTTAAGAGTTCCATCTCCTAATTTACTAAGTAGGCCCTGCCACTCATGGTACAGCATACCACAATTCCTTTGATTGGGCTTGCAGAGCTAGTTCTCTTTGCATTTTTTCGACTTCGCTTCTTAAAAGAGAGCTTCATCTTCAGTAGTTTGTAACTAGCAGGGGTTTCACTTGAATTTCTCAGAACAGGCTAAATAAATTAGAACAACAGGCAAAATTAATGGAAATCATGAATTTAACATGGTTAAGTTAAAAAGTCCCTTAAAAACAACAGGCGATTTTGTGAAAACAACCAGGGAAAATCGCCTGTTGCCTGCTGCTAATGAAGCCCCTGAACTAGACTCTGCGCACAAAGAGAGCTCAATATATCAGAAAGATAGCCATAGCTTATTATTAATATCCATCAACAGGAAACACCGTGAGGAATGGTTTACTGAGGCTATTCAGTGTGTGGTGTTTACCTATACAAGAGCCTACTTCATTAGGTATTGATTGCGTGTGAGGTGTTACCTTCATAGTAATATTTTACCTAATCCTGCATTAAATTAGGGGCCATATCAAAAGCATCCAACTAAATTCTATACAAACATGCAACAAACCTTTTTTGTAACTTTTTGAATTTTCCTTCTTCTTTGCATGGTATATATTCTTTGTCTTCATCAATGCTCAGAGGCAATTTTGAACTTTAAAATATTGTTGCATCTTTTTGATACCAGAATGGCTTTTAACCAGCCATATATGCCCAGTGAAAATGATTATGTTATGTAGAATTATGATCTGATCAATATAGATTAGGGATGAGCTAATATGAATTCTTTGATCAGACTGATAATAGTCATAAAATATTAATGCAAATATTATATGCATCATAAACTATACCTGTGATCATCATATAATGCATGTATCATGCAAATATCAGTCAGGCATCCAGTTTTTCTAACATCAGGCCCTTAGCCAGCTTTTGCAAAGGGGATTCACATTTTAAAATTCCAGGGGGTTCATGTTTGACACCTTTAAACTAAAAATGGCCAATATCACTCGAAAAGTGCTCAGAATGGTGAACAACTGCATGATTTTGAAATACTTTTTGGCTGGGCTACTTCCCAAAGGCTCAAACCCCCTAAACCTCCCTCTCCCTGGCTAAGGGCCTGAACATCCTAAAGAGAAGAATTTGTAAGTCATTTGCAATTTCCCAAACAACTCGAAGGTAAGAAGTCTGTAAATCTAGATAAACTGTAGATTCGCATTTCCAGCTGCACACTTTTCTATGGAATTCATTCTAAAGTTACAGATCTACAATTTAAATGTCTATGTTGCAATTACTTTTGAAATATGAGAAAGAACAATTATTGCAAATGTGGAGCTTTATAATTTTGGAAAAATGTACCATAAAAGCTCCACTTGGTAAGGTCATAAATAATTTTGTGTCTTAGAGAAATTAAAAATCAGAATGTTAACCATGCATTTTGACAAATTATACCAAATACACAGTCTACAATAGATACCATTTGCGTTAGAAATGTGAACATATATTGCCATGGACATTCCAAATTTTTCCTGGTCTCAGAATCATAATGCAATTTCTATTCACCAGAAATAGGATCTTTTGTTCATAATTGTTATTGATTGTCATCATTGAACTGTTATTATATTCCCTGTGTTATTATAGCAACAATAAAGTTAGTGTGCAAGGTATTTTCCATTATGTGCTAGTTCAAAGGTAATAGGTATATTCTATTATGCCAACAGCCAATAAAAGTCCTCGTTAGGGAGAGGTAAGGGTCCTATTAGAATGTGTGACAACATGCAAATGAATGATAACATAATGCAACATTATCGGAAATATGATTTTAACATGGAAACAGTTGCAATAAACAGGTAGTTTTTATAAAAACAGTCAGAGAAAATGGCATGTTACCTGCTGTTAACGAGACCCCTGACTGATGAGTAGAACAATTAAGTATCATATTACTGTTTTACCACAACACATGAAATAATATTAAACTGCAAGATTACGCATACATGAGAAATGCATGACTAAACTGTTGACATATGTTCATGTTGCCCCAACAATTTAATTGCCACATCTCTCAGACCCATAC